AAATAGTAAAGATTGAGGTTCGTTTAACTCATAATTTGACCAAAGAATAAATACTTCACCTACACATTTTACTTTCGTGCATAAATCCATAATATTCTTGGATTTTGACATATATAAGACATGGAACTCGGACTTTATTTTTTATAATAAGGTTTTCTACACTCAAGCTATGATTTCTTGCATATTATTGGTCCACTTAACAGCTCTTCATTATACCACACAAATGTTTTTTCTTACAGATGTTACTTTGACCCACCAAACTATTCCAATTATAGGTGTCCCTATAAATCTCTTGAATGTGAGTCCTCACATGTGGCTTTTCTTGATTAAGACATTCTATGTTTAAAACTAATCCGTTAAGCATTTTGAAGCCACTTATCACATAAAAAGTTAGTCGCAGATTCCTTTAATTCTAATCTAAACAGTAAATGTTAAAAAATGGAACAAACTTTATTAGGAAACGAAAGTAGTACTATTAATACATTGGAGTACCATGTAGTAAACACAAATTGAGGCTGATGATCATCATCACTAGTATCAAGATTATGTACCCATCACCTAAAATTAAGCCACGCCTGCAAAATACCGATATATATCTACTATTATAGATCAATCTATGTACACGAAGGTAGGAATCTAATACGGAGTACAATATAATATGTTGTACTGTAAAATCATATTACCAATGAATTTTATTTAAATATTTTCATAATAATATTGATGGTCGAAATAGGAAAAATGATATCAACGTGACCGTCCAAGAAATAAATGGGCGTAAAGATAGTCGTGTGATAGCATGTGAGTAAGGACCCTCCGCAAGATGCTATGCATGGCTGAATATTATTCAGTGCCTGCGTAGTCAAATCAAGAGACAGATTGGCGGCGAATAAAAATTGTGATTTTAGTGAACTTTTTCCGTGAGGTTGAGGTTGAGGTTGCATTGTGACTTGTGTGGAACTGCTCAAATGGATAAAGTTAGGGGGAGATAGATTAGGGAAATTCTCCAACCTAAAAGCTATTATGAATTCTTATGTCAAAAAAGATGAGTAATTCCCTCTTATTTTAGGTAGTAGTACATGCATTATTATGAAGTTCAAGTTAGGCTCGTCTATCTTGACTGGACGAGTTTAATTACCCCATTTCTCTCGCTTCTCTTGATAAATCAAGAAAACTTGAGTTAACAGTAATATATTGTTTATAAATAAGATATTTATCAAGTAAATAAGCATTCGAACGTAAGTTTGTTGAATTAATTCTAAGAACTTTTTATTGTGGAAAGTGAAAATCAAATAGGCAACAAAAAATGCTCTCTTAAAAGTTAAGTACATGCAATGCAAATATGCTACTAGTTCATTTCAAATTAATACAAAATTCTTTCCATTTTATAAAGTATAGAATATTACACTTTTAAAGTTGTAAAATTGATCATGTCATTATATGTGTACTAGGCTATCTATGAATAAGAAACCATAGGTAGGATCACAAGGTTGTAGGATCCAATTAAACTAAAAGCATATACCAATTATTATGCCTTAGTCGAGTGTAATGAATTGCATTTCATAATCACAAGGTTGTAGGATCGAATTTCACCAAGTTATGGGCTCTTTAGAAGTGAAACCAATCTCCTTAAATTTATTTAATGTACAAATTGTTTGTTAAATTAGTTTCCTAATTAATTTCTAAGGGGTTGTTTGATCAAATTGTATTTTACTAAAAAGTCGGTTGTGAATTCAAATTCCACAAATTCAATTTCTATTTTCTTTGATCCACCTTGTTATATTCCAATCTATTGTAAATAAGAAATTTTCTTAAATAAAACAAAGGAGTACTACATAATGACAATCTAAATCGATTTTACATCTCAATTCGGAAAAGTATGCATCTTATACTCTTCTCAGAGGAAAGGTTTACCAATATTTTTTCTCGATCTACACATAATTCATGTATTCCCTTGATTTGTTTCATGCTGATTAAATGCATCCATCATTTGACTTTAACATTGATCACATGTTTGAGCTCATTTTCACCGTAGCTTTTAATAACACATAAAAGTGAATGTATATAAGATGTTTAATACTTGTATTTACTTTAATGATATTTTCAACCTATCAACTTTTCATAATTTTCATCAGTACGTAGAGAATTATAGATTCGACTCATAGAATTTGTGGACAAATCTACCGATTTAAAGTGTTGCATTTAACCAAATACGTAAGTATTAGTAACGTCAAAAGTGCGAAGCAATTTCCATTATATTTCCTAAAATTGGAGTCAATAGTTTAAACAAAAATTCCACGAACAAGTGCAAAATAGGGAAGATCTGATACACGGTGGATCAGGTCCGCATGACAACAAAAAACGACAAAACAAGAACCGTCCAACCCATGTAAAAATCAATCCCTAGTTCGATATCTCAACACGTGGCATTACAATATTAAAAAGATAGCAATCATATAAACAACAAAACAAGGAAAATGACGCCCATATTTTGGATCATACTTCCTCTTTATAGTCTACACATACCACGTATATACATTGATATTTATATTAAAGTGACGTCTTCCCATCCTCAATCAACATAGAACTGTCCAGGCTTTGGACTTTTGACCTCATTTAACTTGTTTAAAAATAATATAATTAATAATATACGCCACCTTATGGGATACGTATATATACTCGTATTAGAAGTTAAGCTAACACATCGAGTATTATCTCTGTTTCTTTTTGAAATTATCGTGTCTAATTGTGACCATTTGTCAATGTACGTCATTGATTATCAATTTGTCTAGTTACGTATTAGCAAAGTTCATAAAAAATGTCGTGATAATTTCAATAGCAAGAACTCACAGGACCATTTTTCTTTTTGTAATATGAGAATAGGAACATAAACAAAAGAAACTTATATGCATTTGAAATTTCCATTTTGAAAAATATTTCCTAATGATCTGTCTTTTTCAATTTTTCCTACTTTTACAAGAAAAAATTTGTATAAAGCAAACATTTCAAGTATTAAAACGACATAATATTCTAATTAAACACATGTAATATTGTCAAATATTTAAAAATTAATAATATAAAAAAAATATTTAATATTTATATATAGCAAAAATCCGAAAAAGCACATTTATAAAATATCATAATAGAAAGGGCAAATATCGGTTTGATGCTACACTTGGATAGGTTGTACTCTCACCAGCTCAAAGAAGTTAAAGAGTGAAAGAAACCACTTACAAAAAAAAACGTTTCTCCTTTAAGTCTTTAACGAAAAAGCCAACTTCTTTTTTCTTCCATGCTTTCAATTTTTCTTCCCGGCCCTAACGTGTCCTCATCCATTCATCCTACTTTTTTCCACTATTACACTTGTACCATACGTCCATACCCATTTTTTTGGCACATAATTTTTATTTACTTATTTGATACACTTTTTTTTTTTTTTTTTTTTCTTTCTAAAATTTACGTTTAAGTTAACAATTCCTAGTGGTGTTATAATGTCTTATTAATGTCGTTACTGTTATATTTTGTTGATCAAAAACTAATTTTTTCACATTTGTAATGACAATTTAAGCTAGTAAGGATGTTTAAGCCCCAAAAAATGATAATAGAAAACAATAAATATCTAATAATATAAGTATTTTGTCGACAAAAGAAGAGGTGATGGTTAGGGAATCATTAAGATATTTTCAAATTCAATGTATGGTAGATATACTTTTAGAAAGTGAGAGTACAACGTAAATACCTTACCCAACTTTTTTGGGTTTGTTTGATGATTTGACCATAAATAATATGGAGTATTAATAATCCATTAACAAGAATTATTGAATTGTGATATTTTAATTTGAAAGTATGCTTAAATTAGCTTCTTTTCAAAAAAAAAAATAAAAATAAATTGAAAGTATACTTTGATTAATCTTATAATAATAAGATACTTCCTCATTTGTAGTCCTGTCCCAAATTAATTACAATATTTGATTTTATAAGGTGACTATTATTATATTTCATTTTGTATAGGGTATGACATATAATTTGTAAATATTTGACATGTTGAAAATAAATAAAAATACAAATTTGACAAAATTTCATTTGATGAGGTTTACATTATATACTTAGTATTAGTTTAGAATTACCGTTTAAGTTTACTAAATTTTAACTTTGAAATGTCCTTTGCTGCAATCATATTAAATTAGGATACTGATTTTTTCATTAAGTTAGTTAAAAATAAAATAATGAAATAAATAGTGTTTCATATCAATATGATAAATATACTATATTAGCTTTGTTCAGCAAAATGTATGTAGATGTATGAGTACCTATTAACCGTAGGATTAACTCTTAGCCGGAATAGTCAAGTAATGAAATATGTCAATTATTTTAAAACAGAAAAAAAGTAATGTTTTGACTTAGTCAAATCCTTAAAAACTACAACCATGCCCTTACTAAAATTAGCAACCTTTATAACTATCAAAAACCTATTAAAAAGAATACTCCCATAATTCACTTTAGCATTTACCGCATATACTACAACAAATGTGCGTCTAATCTCCTGAAATGACAGCAGTAATTAATCATTTCGCCTAATAATAACCGCAAATAACTCCAAAATTAACAACCTAACGCAGTCATTTAAAGCAGCACACGTGTAAGCACGTGTCCAAGTATTATTTCCCCTAAGTTTACCGACGTGGATTACTGCACACACACATGAAAAATACCCCGCCCACCTCTTCCCTAAATCCTTCTAGAACATCTCCCCATTTTTACCGACACGTGTCCTTCTTTTAATACTAGTGACTCAACTCTATTCTCTGCTACTTTTTTCGTGAAGCGAAGATAAGGTCGGCCATCTCCCCCGAATACATGATACGTGTCACTCTCTCACCGGTTCACCATTTTTACTCTTTTGTGACCCCACTTTAAGCGGTAAGACAAGGACATTCCGTACTTATCCCGAAAAAAATAATGTTACATATAATTCCCCTTTTATTTTTGTATAAATATGGACCTCCCTCCTTCTGTATCTCGAAAATTGGCAGTTGAAATATTCAAATATTATTCTACTCCCAAATAAACAAAAAAAAAAAAAAATTTGTAGAATTAACTAATTGCGAATTTGTGATAAGATTTGATTGATTATTTTATAAAATGGGAGTTCAAGAGAAAGATCCTTTGGCTCAATTGAGTTTACCACCGGGATTTCGGTTTTATCCTACTGATGAAGAACTTTTGGTTCAATATTTGTGTAGAAAGGTTGCTGGTCATCAATTTTCTCTTCAAATTATAGCCGAAATCGATCTGTATAAGTTCGATCCCTGGATTTTACCTAGTAAGTCTTCTACTGAGATCGTCGATAGTTCCCTTTGGTGTTACATTTTTTAATGTTGTTGTTTTGTACAAAATCGTCAAATTTTGTTTATTAACGTGATAATTTGTGATTTTTGTATAGGTAAGGCGATGTTTGGAGAAAAAGAATGGTATTTCTTTAGTCCAAGAGATCGGAAATACCCAAACGGGTCACGGCCCAATAGAGTAGCGGGTTCCGGGTATTGGAAGGCTACCGGAACCGATAAGATAATAACTACACAAGGGAGAAAGGTCGGAATTAAAAAGGCGCTCGTGTTTTATGTTGGTAAAGCCCCTAAGGGTACCAAGACCAATTGGATCATGCACGAGTATCGTCTTACCGAGAACACCCGTAAATCCGGCAGTTCTAAGGTTTGTTAGCGTGACTAAGTCCGTTGTATACAGTTCTAAGGTTATGATCGGTTTATTTAAAAGAAATTAATTTAGCTAACGCGTTTGATATTTTTGTTATCAGCTGGACGACTGGGTGTTATGTCGTATCTACAAGAAAAATTCGAGTGCGGCAAAGCCTACAATAAGCAAGGAAACAAGCACAACAGGTGAAACATCTTCATCGTCATCATCACATCTTGATGACGTACTAGAATCTTTACCGGAAATTGATGACCGTTCATTCGTTTTGCCACGTATGAACTCTTTGAAGAATAATAACAATGTTGCCCAACAACACCAGCACCAGCAGCAACAACAACAACAGCAAAATGACAAGTTTAACCTTCAGCAACTCGGGTCAGGTAGTTTTGATTGGGCCGTACTTGCCGGGTTAACCGCGGCACCTGAATTCGCCTTTACCGGGTCAGCCCAATCTCAATCGGGGCAGGTAAACAACATTAGTAATAATGGAAATGATGTGTTTGTCCCTTCGTTACCACCCTTGTCACAAGTGGAGTCACCCGTGGAGAACAAAATACGTACCTCCGGGTTAGTCGATGAGGAGGTCCAAAGTGGAATTACATCAAACCAAAGGTTCAGCACGGGGTATTTCAATCACAACATAAACTTGTTTAATCAAAACCACAACAACAACTCGGTCGATTTGTTCGGGTTGAGTCATTCAAGTCAGTTATCCGGATTCGGATACGGATACAGACAGTAAACTCGACATTAAAACATTTTTGTGTAGTGAAACAATTGGGGACAAAAGAAATTAGAGGGTTATTAGTTGTAAATATCTCTCATTCGTTGGGCTAATTTTTGGGGAGATAGAATCATAGAAGTGAAGGAAAAAGTAAAAGAATTTTAGTCTATGAATAAATTATTATTATTATTATTATTGTTATTATTATTATTTTGTTTTAGGGGGTGTAACGGAAAGGTAAAAGGATGATGGTTGAGTTTGTCAATTTTTTTGTCTAGTTTGGTAAAAGGGAAAGAAGGGTATAAGGTTCAATGCACAATGTGATGGAATGGAAAATGTAATGCCAAAATTGAGGCGCCGAACTTCTTTATCTAGTTCGAATAGTTGCACATAAGACATTGATTTATTTCGAATATGATAAAGAAATATTATTTTATTGGCTTATGTTATGTAGTGCAATGTATGGAATTATTAAAATACTTTAATTGTTCAAATTCATGGAAAAACTGATATGGCATTTTTGATGTTCGTTCCATGTTTTGTACTCTTTTGTATCTAATTATGTTACTCCCTCCGCCCACGGTTATCTGCAACAATTGCTCAAAATGGATGCTTCTATTATCTGCAATAATTTTTTTTCTTTCCTTTTTTGGTAATATTTAACTATTAATTACCCACTATTTGGTTAGTGATCCCCTCCACCACCTATTACTCACTACCTAAAACTCACTACAAATATTTGTGTTCACACTACAAATACCAAATATACCCTTATTTTTCAACACTTAAATGTTTAGTTTATATATATATCATCATATGGGTAATTTTATATTTTTACCTTTCTCTCTCATTAATTATAACCACCAAAACTCAATTAACACTCCCCTAAAAGTTTTTTCTAGGATTCCGAAAATATGTCCTTTGTTGCACATAACCGTGGGCGGAGGGAGTAGATGTTTTGTACTCTTTTGTATCTTATTATGTTAGAATAGAAAGTTTTAGATTACTTTAATTTATTAATTTGAATATAAGTAAATGTTACCTACGTTAAAATAGAAGGTTTATGGCTTCAAACTAAAGATCTTGATTCAAGTCATAACGCCCATCAATATTCTTATTAAAGTAAATAAAGAAAAAAAATTTCCTAAGAACCACATCCGAAGAATACATGATATATAAATGTACTTATGTGTGATTTATTACAGTCGTAATATAGGTAATAATATGCTTTCATATATGTCAATTCAAGGCCATTTTCAAGACATATTTGGATTGATGAATATGCACAACAGATTGTGGCACATTGGCAACTAAGGTTGACGGCTGAAAAGGATTTTGAATGTGCACTTGACTAGCTTCCAAGTGTCTTTTGAATTACTTTCACGTCTTATGTTAATGAATAACTACCTCAAAATTGTTACTTTGTATTGCTTAATGATTAAGTGTTTGAATCAAGCGGTCAGAGAGATTTTCAACTTGTAATTAATTAGAGTTATTGGGTTCAAGCATATATAGAAACTCAATAACATATGTTATGAGAGATTTCCTCCAATTGAGTCCTAAACTAACTCAAATTTAAATTAATCAGAATCTATAAAGTAAGCTTTGAACACCTAATTCCATGCGATGTAACCTCCAAATATATATAAACCGTCAAATCAATAGGCATACACGTACCACCATAATAATGAATTAAACCCTAATCTCTTATTTTAGTGTCTTAACTTATGGATCGGAAAATTGAATTTGCATTAAACTATCATACATTTATACCACTTGGAGACGTTGAAAACTCACAAATATGTGAGGTTTGGAATGAATGTAAGTGTCCCACCATAATTAGGATACATAATTAATATTACGAGTATATGAGTAATATAGAGTATTAAAAAGCACCGATACACGAATAACAATACTAACTTTACTTTTGTAGTCTTGTAGATTAATACTCGTTTCATAATGTTAGTCCTATTTACGTATATCGATGCAATTCTTTGATTGCAAATATCTTTAATCTCATACTAGCAAAAATTATAAACATTAGATATTAATAAAGTACTCATCGAGACGAATAAAACTAGATCTCATATGACTATATTTATTACTCCGTATTATATAGAGAGAAATTTAGAAGATTCCCTCTAATTTTTAAGAGTTAAAACATTCTAAATGAGACTAACATTATAAAACGGAGGGAGTACTTTTATTAGAAGATCACCAGAACAAAATTAATATCCACTCAAATAATGAACAGAGTACTAAGCTATTAGAAGATCAAGAAATAGTGCTTGTATATATATATATAAATAAATAAATAAATTATGCACCTAAAATCTTTCTCATCCTTCTCATTTTAAGGAACTTCTCATTTGACCGATATATATATATATCGGAAAGTGTCAAACATTGGGAACTACACGGGAAAGAGTTAAGAACAGGAACAAGGAAAAGTAAAAACCACTTAAATGGAAAAACCGATTGTTATGGTGAGAAGCGTGAGAAATTAAGGTACATTAAGCTCTTGTAGTAGGTACATCAAATTATAGTTATAGGTACATCAAGTTATAACATGATACAAAAAAAAAAAAACAAAAACTGAAATAATAAAAAAGGATACAAAAAAAAGGGAAAAAAAAAGAAAAAACAAAAAGCCATGATGAACATGACTTTTGTTCATCCCCTTTCCCAAACGCTAATCTCTGTAACATAAACAATAAAAATGGAGCACATCTTCTGCGTTGTTACTTCTGCCAAATATCATCATCAAATCCATATCTCTTTCCTCAACTCCAACCCAATCAAAAATTAATTAGCTATCATAAATAAATTCATAGAAAAAAATGCAAAATTGAAAAACAGAAATTTCAAGTTTAGATTTTCAGCAATCGGCACATTGTGCGATAATTGATTTCCATACAATTAATTTCTACTATTATTTTTCTCAAATGTGTACCCAGATTAATCCATATGTGGGCAGCTAGCGTGATTTTTCTCTCTCCTCTCAATGCGTGTAACAGCTTGAAAATGATCGGTGTTTGTGGCAATATTTGTCGGATTCGTCAGACAAATGTCTACCACGAGATTTATTTTCCTCTACTCAGTTTTCTTATTAAAAAAATTCTTATATTTACCTTTTTGCCATTAATGAGCTGTGTGCAACTGTAGCCACTAAATCTAATCAATCTAACGGTCTAAAATGTTTCATATGTTTATCACATAAACTTTCATATATATATATATATTTTGTATATCGTTTATTTATAATTTTTTGTGGAAATAGGATAAGAGGAAAGAAAGAGATACATCTAATCTAGACTGGCCTTTGTAAATTGTGATAGGCTGCATCTCAAAATTAAACATGGTGATAATGTGCGTGGGTGGAAATACTTCTTTGCCTAGCTCGTATAGTCATCATGACAACTTATTATACACTGCTCCCATTAGCAATAAATGTCACAAATTTGTATTTCATTATTTTAAAAATTTATCAAATATTTATATAGTAAGAGTGAGTTTATCCTCAGACCCAAACTCTGCCACATTAGCTTTCTACTAACTTTTAAATATTTTTTTGTTATTCAGATTTATATAAGACTTTCTTCAAATTCATACATTATCCCAAGACTCACTCTAGACTCACTTATCCTCTTCAAAATTGTAGGATAAAATTTTCTTAATGCGCCATGTAGGATTATAAATTTTTGTTATAACCAATCAAATAAGAAATTTGTAAATTCTTTTAGAATTAAATAATTCAAATGTCACATAAACAAAATTGGCAAATGAGATTTTAAATTTTAAATTAATTAAATATAATATATTATCTTTTGAGATTATGAATTTTATCTAAATATATAACGAATAGTTCACAATTTTCTTTATATAAAAATATTAAATGATATACTAAGTACAACGAACGAATAAAATAACAAATTTTATCACATAAACACAAAAAGTATTTGTTTTAAAAAATACAAACAAAAAAAGAGTTTAGGGTTGAGGTGGCTAATCTTTGAATTAACACAAATTTCCATATATATGTGGCTAGCCACACCGTATGGCCAACCATCATAGGGGTTACATAGCTAGTATATTTATATTTTTTTGTAAAATATCTTTAATTATTTTTTTTTAAAATTATGTAAACATTATTAATATTCATGTCTTATAAATTTATTTCGGATAAAAATACTCATTTATGATAATTAAGATAAATTTTCTTAAGTTAATATCGTAAAACTTGTTATGGACGACATAATACACAACGATAATTACTAAATTTATTTTATAATACATAACGATAATTTTATAATACTACGAAATTATTTAATTTTGCGAATATTTTTAATATAATACAATAGTAGTACTTCTAAAACACTTGAAATCAAAAGGTAAGTTATATTAAATAAATGTGACCATATCTCGTAATTACCCATATGTGAGTGTGATGAATTTTGAGATTGATTTTGTTGAGAAGAATTCATAATGGAATATAATTGAGGATTATATTTGTAATAAAGATAAAAGAGAATTCAAGTCGAAATTTTGATTTGGATCCATAATTTATTTATTTATTTAATTTTTTTTATTTTTTTTAGAGTTATTTTTTTTGGCACTAAATATACATATATCATATGTATATATACAAATTGATCAGGACTTAGCCGTTAATTTTTAGGTGTTGCAATAATATAGCAGTTGGAGCACATTCAAATTACATGCAAGTAAGAAAGATTAATCTCCTAATTATCAAATTAAAAACATAATTATAAAAAAGTCCCTTGCCTAGGGTTTAGTAGTCCTTGCCTAGGGTTCGTAGTTTTTTAGAATTCCAGTAGTGTAATCGTGCAATTCCTTGTCTTCATAATTAATCAATCAATTTTTCCTAGCTTTCTAGAATAATGGAGTTCGATTTAATAAAGGAATGGGAGAAATTTTGACTCACTAAGGAGGAGTAATTAGTGGTAGGCTGTGATGAGGGTGTCGATCAAGGGGTTACGTCAAATGATCAAATTCATCTTGCACTTGTTGGAAAGCTGTGTACAGTTAAGATGTTCAGTGTTGAGGCCATGAAGCGAACCCTATCATCTATATGGAGACTGAGTGATGAGATTGCCATTAATGCGGTCGATACAAATCTCTTTGTGTTTCAATGCTTCAAGAAGGAGGATAAAGAGAGAATTATGGAGGGAAGGCCATGGTTTTTTTATGGCAAACTATTGTTGTTGAAGGAGATACAAGGAGGGGAACAACCGTCGGAGATTGAATTCCATACTTCACCTATGAGGGTGCGGTTATATGATGTTCATTTTAATAAAAGGTGTTCCTCGTTTCTGTATGACATTGGAGAGTCGCTTGGGGGTTTTGTGGAACTGGATGAATCTAACCCCCTAGGATGGGGAGAGTTTGTGCGAATGAAATTTGAAATTGATGTTCGTAAGCCC